GAAAGCTGGCCAGGAATCAGGTCACACAAGTTCTGCCCATTCATTTGGGACTTTGAATAATTCCTTCTAGGTCTCTCCTACTTCTCAGCTCCCCATCATGGAAACAGGAAGAGGCACCAAAATGTGGTCTGCTGCTTGGCAATACACAAAGACAAAACTTATCAGTTATCTGTCTTTTCCACTTTCATTCTCCTATAAGTGTATGGTGAAGTTTTCCAGAAGTTACGTGATGAGTGATGTAGCACCAGGGTACAAAGCGGAAGCAAATGAGAATTCAGGTGACTATCAAAGCAGATGTTGATTTGCAAAAATATAAAACAATGCCACTCTACTGACTAAACATGGGCTTTCCCCAGTGGCTCAGCGATAAAGAATCCACCTGCAATGCAGGAGATGCGGGTTAGATCCCTGGGTTGGGAAGATCCTCTGAAGAAAGAAATGGCAACCCACTCCAATATTCTCACCTGGAAAATCCCATGAACAGAGGAGCTTGGTGGGCTACAGTCCCCGGGGTCACCAAAGTTGGACAGAATTTAGCAACTGAACAACTCACTAAATATGTTTTTGAAAAGTTTTCATAAATTATGTACGATAGCATGTAACTAAATTATTCATTTGAAAGAAACATTTAAAACATCCTTGACTATCTCCACATTTGTACCTCTAGACCATTCTCTCCCCTGAACTTCAGACTCCTCCACCTGCCTACTCAACTTCTGTACTTGGTTTCTGAACAGGCATTCCAAACTTTCAGATGACCAAGACCTAAATTCCTCCAGTTAAAACCTGTTCTTCCCCATCTCATTTGATCCTCTCTATCCTTCCAATGGTTTACAAAGCCAAGAAATTGGAGTCATCCTTAATTCCTTTCTCTCACATCTTTTGTTCAATCTAGCATGAAATCCTATCGGTTGACTTCAAAATTCACCCCAAATCCAATCATTATCTTCCCTGCTCCACTGTTCAAAGCCATCTTTATCTCTCACCTGGGTTATCAGAGTAACCTCCCATCATATCCCCTCACTTGCCCCCTCCAGTTTACTTTTAGCACAGTAGTTACAGTGATCCTTTCAAAAGATCAGATATCACACAGCTGAAAACACATCAGTGACCTTTCATCTTACTGAAGATAAAAGGCCTCTTCTGTTGTTCAGTTGCTCAGTCGTGTCTGAGTCTTTGTGACCCCACAGACTGCAACAAACCAGGCTTCCCTGTCCTGGAGCTTGCTCAAACTCATGCCCATTGAGTCAGTAGTGATGCCATCCAACCATTTCATCCTCTGTTGTCCCTTTCTCTCCTTGCCTTCAATCTTTTCCAGCATCAAGGTCTTTTCTAATGATTCAGCTCTTTGCATCAGGTGGCCAAAGAATTGAAGCTTCAGCATCAATCCTTCCAGTGAATATTCAGGGTTGATTTCTTTAGGATTGACTGGTTTGATCTCCTTGCAGTCCAAGGACTCTCAGTTGACTCCTAATTACCTCTCTAGCTTCTTTTCCTATATTCACCTCCCTGTTTACTCTGTCTAGCCTTCAAGCTGTTATAATGGTTATTGCCTCTGAGATTTTCTTCCTCCAGAAATCCCAGTGCCTCACTCCCTCAACTCCTTCTAATCTTTGATCAAAAGTCACCGTCTTTAAGGAGACCCACCCCAACCTCTTCTACTTGGCCCCATCCCTCACCTCTCTGCATTCTAATTTCCCTTATCCTGGTCTACACCACCTCCACCCCCACCCTGCCCTGCCAACCCATAGCTAACAGTTATGTTTGTTCATCTCTCCAGGAAATATAAATTCTACAGTTGCAAGAATTTGTTGGTTTTGTTCACTAATGTATCTTTTGTGTCTGAAACAGTCCCTGGCAAATAGTTTCTTAATAAATATGAATGAATATATGGAACTAGTTTCTCCGTTTATATATAAAGCTTGATTGGCAGAAAGGGGAGTTTGGACTCCACAGATCTTCCCAGCCCAAGTCTCTGATTCTCTAACCAGCCAGATGCTCATTTATACCACAAGTGATTTGAACCTTTGGCACAACAAGGTTCAGCTCCTGGTCACAAAGACTTGGGCCCTGGACCTGGCCCAAATTCTAAGTGTTCAGCTAGAACAGAGCAGGTCAGGCACCACTGACCAACCACTGTCCTCATTAGCTGTCAGAGTCTGGGACATTTGGCCATAACTATGTTCCCGATCTTTTCTCAAGTTCACTTATTTCTCCAACCTGAAACAATACTCTTATTTAGCTTTAACTTTGCCCTGCAACACAGCACAGATCTCAAGGGTGGGTGTCCAAATGGGAGCCACAATTTCAACTAGTTAGGACAACCCCATAACCCTAACCCAAATCCAGGTCCCTCTTCCAATGATGACGTTCTTCGTACCTCAGGGCAAACTTGAATTCTAAGAGGTTTTTGAAAAGTGGAAAAGATGAGATGGGAATTGCCAGCATGAAATACAATTAAAATACTGTCCAGCCAATGCTTTTTAGGCTTGAACATGGTACTACCCCAAACCTAGCTTTAAGAATGATGTTCTCTTACTGGGTAGTAGGACAAAGTGGCCTGGCACTTGGAAGACAGTAAATGTTTGTGGAATGGAAGAATTAAACCTGGAGTGACTCATATGAGAAGTTCACTGACTCAGCATTAAGCGACTCCAACCAGAAATGTAAGGGTGACAAAGGGAAAGAAGGGACTAAGAACCCACCCAGGTAAGGGAGAGTTCTGTGTCCCAGGTGCTGAGGTTCCTTGCTCATGACCACAGGGATCAGCTTCTACCTATCAGCTCCTCTCAAGGCTTCAGCAAAATCTAAGACTAGCTTATTTTCAGCTTGCCATCTTGATACTAAGAAAAAACATGCTGGGGAGGAGGGGGCATGAGTAAGATATTGCTGTTGCTGTTTAGTCGCTAAGTAGTCTCTGACACTTTTTGTAACCCACCATGGACTGTAACCCACCAGGCTCTTCTGTCCATGGGCTTTCCCAGGCAGGAATACTGGAGTGGGTTGCCATTTCCTTCTCCGACTCAGGGTTCAAACCTGCATCTCCTACATTGGCAGGTGGGCTCTGTACCACTGAGACACCAAAGAAGCCCCTATCCTTAAGTTAGTAGGATCTTGGGTAAATGACTTAACCTTTTGCAGGGCTGCAAAGATGAAACAAAATGGTACATGTGAAAATACCTAGCATTCAAGGTGATCAATGTCCTTTTCTTTTCCCTTTAAGGAAAATACATCAAATCTGACCAATACAGTAGCCAGCAAGTGTATCAATCTCCAGTATCTCATTATTTCCACACTGGCCAGCTGCCTTGCTAACTGTGCCCCAAAGATCCAGGGCATTTCTCTACCGTCAGTGCTATCCATTTAGGTTCAACATCTTCTTACTAGTATGAATCAAACAACTGGTCCAACTGGTCCTCTAAACTCTAGCTCAAATCAGCATGCACATGCTGAAGTTCTTAATGCACTGTTCTGGCCCAGCTTACAGATGGCTCCCAAATGCCTACTAAGTCAAGGTCAGATTCCAGGGTCGCCTATTTCATCTTATTTCTAACCCTTTTTCTTTGCTCACATCTCAGACTCTGGTCCAGCTGCACTACCACTGCTGTTCCTGGCATACACTTTCGTACGCTTTTACCTCAGCTCCATTCATACTCTTGCAGGTCACTGTCCTCCTCAACTACTACCTGTCCTCATCTTTCACTACCCCAAACTGCTACGCTGCCTCTGGCTTCAGCTCCCTTGCAGAGACTAGGCCTTTTACCCGAATGCTCCCCTCTGCTTCCAGTTCCCTACTCTTGTCTCGGCACCATTCTTTGGAAGGTCAATTTCCTTACATTGTAAAGCAACTATGACAAATAGTTAATGATTTAATGATTCTCTCCTTGACTAAGCTGCAGAAGTCCCAAGGATGGCACATGTTTCTGATTTTGCTTATCATTTTTCCAAAGCCTAACACAGTACTTGACAAATTAAAGCCTGCCACCAATCTGTTAAATAAGCAAAGACTTCTCTATAAGAATTCACTCACCCACTGTTTATAGTATCTAAAATGGAGAAACCATTTGCTCTCTGAAGTGGGAGAGTAATTATATTATGGCACCTATAATGGAACATCAATTACCTTCCAGTAGTCATGTATGGATGTGAGAGCTGGACTAAAAGAAAGCTGAGTGCTGAAGGATTGATGCTTTTGAACTGTGGTATTGAAGAAGACTCTTGAGAGTTCCTTAGATTGCAAGGAGATCAAACCAGTCAATCCTAAAGGAAATCAGTCCTGAATATTCATTGGAAGGACTGAAGCTGAAGCTCCAAAACTTTGGCCACCTGACATGAAGAACTGACTCACTGGAAAAGACCCTGACGCTGGGAAAGACTGACGGCAGGAGAAGAGGATGAGATGGTTGGATGGCATAACCGATTAGATGGACGTGAGTTTGAGCAAGCTCCGGGATTTGGTGATGGATAGGGAAGCCTGGTGTGCTGCAGTCCATGGGGTTGCAGAGTCGGACACGACTGACTGAACTGAACTGATGCTTTCAAGGTATGACATGGGGAAATGTTCAGGTTAGAACGGAATGGAAGAACAGGAAACTAAACCTAAAACAGTATGATCTAAACTGCGCAGAATTGGATATGTATACAGGAAGGATACAAATTGGGGACAGTGTTTATTCTGAAAAAAATTGTCTGTACTTTTGCACATTTTCTACACTAAGCATTTATTGAGAAAAAGTGTTTCTAAAAATCTTAAAAGAGACTCAGTTCAAATGCAGTGTCCACTCAAAACTTCTCTAGACTTTCTAATTCATACTCAGATAATCCCATGCCTCCTCATCGAGGCTTGGGAGGAATCTGTGGTAACGAGCACTTTATTTCTCTTCCACCCTGCGTATCCCCCCAACTCCATTCCCCATCTCCCCTCCCATCCCCCAGGGCCAAGTCTGAGGAATCCAGCAGTCCAGGAAGAGCACATGCAGAGCAAAAAGAGGTACACTCACCTAGTTGAAAAACACCCAAGATGCTTTGCCCTGAATTTTAAGCAGCACATGTGACCTGGTCCATTCTGGTTTCAAGTTCAAAGGCATCAGGCCGGTCCTGTGGGTTAGCAGCTAACATATCTTTCAAGAGCTGCTTGATCCCCTCAGACATGGAAGTCCTGCGTTTCTGGGGGATGTGCAACTCCATCTTTGGGTTTTCTAGCAGCGCCTCACCAACAGGGACGATCTCAGTCCCCTGTTTGATATAGGTCCCCAGGAGCTCCTTCTTGGTCTCAGAGTCAATGAAAGTGATTCTCTCTATCATTGCCCAGATGATAATGCCCAGGGCAAAGATGTCAGCCTTGGCTGTGTAGTGTCCCTCCCAGACTTCAGGGGCCATGTAGAAGTCTGAGCCACAGGCTGAGGACAGCCAGTATTTATTCACATTCACATTTTTGTTGTCTGGATTGCCCTCTTTACCTCGGGGGGCCAGACCAGCACAGACCTTGCTTAGTCCAAAGTCTGCCACCTTGAGGATGGGGGTGCCAGACCGCTCTGTGATGAGGATGTTGTCTGGCTTTAGGTCCCTGTGCACGATGTGGTTTTTGTGCAGGAAGGCAATGGCGCTTGTGAGCTGCAGCATGAAGCTCTTGTTGGTGGCTGGGTCCGGCCTCCGGGATAGGACATACTGATTCAGGTCTCCACCTTCACAGAACTCCATGACAAACCAGAGATAGCAGGGTTCCTCAGCATAACCCAGGATCCTTTCTCCTAAATCAAGGGAAGACCAGAAAGAGCCTGAGTGAGATGGATGCAGTCACACCACTTACAGACTACAGAGACGTGGCACATGAAAGTAGGAATCACAGTGCTGACAACTGCTCCCATCTAAGAGGACCAGCAAAACTGCACGGAGCTAAGTACACAAGAAGACCCAACTCTACTCACACAGGGGAGTCAAGGGGTAACATGAGAAGGGAACCCTGGCTTACTGCTGATTAGCCAGGAGGAGTTCGCCCTGCCCAGTTTCCACTTCTGCTTCTTTGCCTGTTGATGGCCATGTGTGAGACAGAGTACCAATACAGGCACCTGACATTCATTTAACACTTACCAGCACCACAGGAAAAAAACCAGCCCCATCTAATGAAATGAACCCAAGGCTCATGGAGACTTAAGAGTTCACAGACTCAAATCTACGACTGCAGAGCCACTGTGTTTTGTTATACTATGTCCAAATAGGTAGCATCCCTCCCAGGGCTGCTGCTGCGACAAGTGAAAACACGTGAGAAGACTGTCAAATGTCTGTCACCCCACGCAAGGCCAGAGACCTTCCCTCCATCCCTCCCTGCTTTGTACAGGATTCTCGTCATCGACGTATCTAGAATGGCACTACAATTTTATTTCAGACATCTTTCACTCAGTGTGTTTCTGGTAGCACCCCCCCATGCCAAGCACCAGTTAAGATATGTGATAGGCCCATCTTTATGAAGTTTAGTTTGAAGAAGAGAACAGGTCTTTAAAACAGCAAGCATCCTAAAGTTGTGCATCGGCATCAAGGTCAAATTTTATGAACAGTGAAGAGTGGGCAGGAGTCACCAGATCTAAAAAAGTCTAAAGGGGCAGGACTTGAGTGACCCTAAGAGACAGGCAGTGTACATCAGCAGGGAACAGCCAGAAGGGAACTCTAGGTTGAGATGGGATGGATAATGAAGCCCAGAAACAAAAGGACCAGAGAGGTGTAACAGAAGTCTGAAGTGGATATAAGATATAATCAAGTTGTGTGCTTGAAATTCTAGCTCTGCCTTCTCCAGAAAGTCTTCCTTTTGAAGCACAGAAACTCCAGGAAAGCCGGTGACTGGCACCCAAACAAATCCCAATATCCTTTATTAAAGCAATAACAGTTTACTGAAACCTTAGCAAGAAGCTATCTGATGACTGCAAGCGCCCAAATAGCTCGGGCCTAAGTAGGCAGGTGTCTCATCCTCCTGATGAGGAGACTGGGCCTGCCCTGGGTGGTCACACAGCTCCTTCATGACAAGTCTGACCCCTCACACGGTGTCTTCATTCCACCAAAATTCAAGGCTGCACCCCGTCAACAAGTCTCTGCCAGAAGGTGCCTTTTACCATTTACTTTATTACAAGGAGAACAGGTGATTCAGATGAGACTCCACTAAGCCCCCAAATCACCAAGGCACGCAGTCTATAAAAAGCCAGTGGTTTGGGAGTTCTAGGTTGATGCAAGAAGATGACTAGATGGACAAAGCAAAAGATTTAGGTTTTTGACCATCATCTCACAGACCTCATTGCCCCTGTAATTATATAATTTGTTTATATTGCTCACAATCAAAAGCAATACAGGTAGAACCAGTTTAGGGCAGATGGATTTTTTTTTTTTTAAAAAAACCAGTTGTTTCACATCTCCTAATCCTCTTTCTAGGTCATCAGCTCTAGCGGGTTGAGGCTCTATCTAAAAAGACTGCAAAATAAAGCTATGATCTGAGCCCCAATCAATCTAGACTCCAGAGTAAAGATCCATAAAAAGGAGACCACGAAATGTTTGCTGATGGTAGAGCCAGAAAGGAAACTATTAAAAAGCCATCAGATTCCTTCAGCAAAGGCCACATCAGAAAACAGTGAGACTTCTGGTGGGGTAACACAGGGTGGGGATGATTATTTTATATACAAAGTTGGTAACTATGGCAACTGAAGTAAAAAGAAAACAACTCTGCAAAAATGACTACATAACTGTTAAGTTCAGGTTATGAGAATCCAGGGAAAGAAAAAAAAAAAAAGGTGAAAAAGTGCCCTCAGTCAGTGAGTGGGTGGGTAGAAACACCCAAGACTGAGGGACTTGTTCTGGAGAATAGCTAAGGTCAGGAGACACCTGGGGGGGGGCTGTCTGTTAAGATGACAGTGCTGGACAGGAAGCAGACACATCATCAGTGAACATGACGGAATGGAAAGTGGGGGGACACAGCGACTTGTCCCAGGGACAAAACACTTTTCTGCACAGGCAAGGGCCGTGGGCTTATTTTATGAGAAGCTGCAGCATGTGTTTTCATGCAGGAATCCCAGCTGCCCACAAAAAATAGGAGAGGCGTGTCAGAATTCTGGTCCTTTCCTTCAAGGCAGATTGCCTCCCTGAGCCTCTTTTCAGAGACCTCACATCACAGCAAGATGGAGGGAGGGCAGAGGACGCACTGGGTGCATTTCTGTCGGGAAGCCAGCAGCAGAAGAGTAATAGAGGGCCAGAAGTCAGGTCCAGGTTTAGACCCCAACTCTGCTCCCTGGTTTACTGGGTGACTTTGAGACTGCGTATGATGGGAGGTTAGCTAGAACGTGGGGTGAGTCCCTGAACCGCTCAGCCTCCATCTTCTCATCCATTAGATGAGAAGGACACACCACATATTCCTGAGGTAAGTCACAGTCAGCAGAGTGTAAGGTGCTTTGGGGGAATCACATCCTCGCCATCTCCTACACCATCTTTCCCAGCGGACCTCAGCCAAGGCCCAGCAAGTCACTGATTTCAGTACTCCCAAGTGTTGGAGGCCAGAGAATTCACCTCACATGTCAGGCAAAGATGAAACAGAAACCAAAGAATGAAGTGGGTGATTACATCACATTTCTCAGGCTATAACAGCTAAAACTCATGTTCTACCTAGAGCAGGCCACTTTCATAGGCATTTCATTACCTTCTCTAAGTCCAGAAGCCAGAAGACCACAAGATAAACTTTGTACTTCAGAACATAACCTGTGCTAGAGTTCACAGGGGATATAATTTAAAAAAAAAAATTAAGCAGGTGTCTCGCATCTCATTACTCATAGGCATAAGTAGTGTTGAAGTCATCCAACAAAATGGGCTCTATTGGGAAACTTGAGGCCAGCAGACTCGGCCTAAGGATAAATTGATATGAGCTATGGAAAGGCAGGCACTTCTTGGAAAGGGATACAAAATACCCAGAATTTTATAAGCCTGTCTCCAAGCATCCTCCAGAAATTAGACTTTTTTAAAATTGAAATATAGTTGATTTACAATGTGTGCCAATCTCTGCTATACAGCAAAGTAACTCAGTTATACACATTCTTTTAATATTCCTTTCCATTATAGTTTATCACAGGATATTGAATATAATTCCCTGTTCTATACAGTAGGGACTTGTTTATCCATCCTATATATAATAATTTATTTGCACCTGCTATGCTCTAGTATAAGTACATGGGCATACTAGAGCACACACTGCTTGTCAGACACCAGAGATGTGATAAGTAGCAGTTTCTGCCCTTATGAAGGCTTCTAGTCCCTAGAAACAGAATGACTGCAGCTATGAGAATAAAGGATAGGAGGCAGTTCTATCTGAGGAGTAGGGAAAGGTGGTCAGGATAAGAAATAGACAGGCTGAGAGTAAGTGGCTCATGTACTGTGTCTCCCAGGGTGAAGGGGATGAGCGCACCCAGCTCAGGGGGCTGCATGCTTGCAGCGAGGGACTCACGTAATCTGGGGGTAATCACAGAAGAGATGTGGTAGGAGACGGGGAGAAATGAGGCTGGAGATGGTCTGGAGTCAGGTCAAAAGAAATGGCGTCTGGCAGACAAAGAATGTGAACTCTAAGAAATGGCAAGTGACTAAAAGTTCTTGAAGTATTTTAGAAACATAAGCTGCTTATTGAAATTAAGAAGTCACTAATGTTAAGTAAGCCATACCATTCAGATAAGATAGCCAAGCTGACAACACTGTGGCTTGCCACTAAGTGCTGATTTCAGAGATGTCAACATGTGGAAGAACACATCTGAGAACCAGGTTCCCTCTGGAGGCAGGAGTTAGAAATGGAAGACAGACTAGGGGCCAAGAGACGCATCAGAAGAAGAGAGAGCAAGGGAGGAGGCAAGAAGGGGATGGGAAAAGGTCTTGGAGATTTAGAATCAACAGCACTTAGCAATGTACCATGTGTCTGTCACATGTGATAGGAAGGAAGAAGTCAATCCTCTCCTCATTCCAAACTTGCATCTACTCACAGGACCCTTTCACAAGTGAGGAAACGGAGACTACAGTCTCACAGAGGCAGACTTCAGAGTCTCCACAGCCTGGGTTTCTAACTGTGATGCTTTCCTGCCGCCTCTTGCTGCCAGCAGCAGAAGTTAACACCTGGATGTTAACTTCATTTCCCACTTGGCCGCAGCTCCTTAAGTAAGTACTCTTACGTATGCCCCCAAGGAGTTTAATATTCATCAAGGCCAATCACACAATATGCCGATGCATTTTTCATAAAGGATTAATTATGATTTTGATAAGTATGCTGAGATAATTCAGCAACATTTATCACAAGTCTTCAAAATGCTCAATGTGACATAAAAATCCCATTCCAGGAATTTATTCTAAGGGAAGAAAACCAAAAAGACAAAACAAAAATCTACCAGCATCAAAAAAGCACACCAAGCACTCAAACATGCAGAGCTGTCTCCACACAGAACAGTGAAAGTGTGGAGGCAGACTGCCCACGAGTAGGTAATGATTAGTAATGGCATTGCCAACTTAGTTGAACGCTTAGAGGGTCATGCCTTACTTCATCAAAATTTACTTAGCCAAAAGAGAAAAGTCATGTAACACATCATAAGCATAATTAATGTGAAATAGGAAATAAGGTACACAATTTTTAAGTTATGTTCAAAAAACATTATAAAGGAAGCCAGAATTGAGGTTTGAAAATGTTATGACCCTAGCCATCCCTATTTTGGATTAAATAAAAAATTTTATAACTTTTAACTGAAGAAGT